GGGGGGGAGGTGGGGGGAGCTGTGGGGGAGACGAGCTGCTGATGCTGCTGCTGCTGCTGCTGCTGCTGCTGCTGCTGCTGCTGGTGGCTGCAGGGACACGACGTTTGGGGACTACCGGGTGATTGAGGAAGACGTGGACGGCTGCGAAATGATTTACTGCCTCATGAAGGCCCCCTTTCCAGTTTCAAACAGAGACTTCTTGCAGGTCTGCTGCTGCTGCTGCTGCCGCTGCTGCTGCCGCTGCTGCTGCTGCTGCTGCTGTTGCTGTTGCTGCTGCTGCTGCTGTTGCTGTTGCTGCTGCTGCTGCTGCTGCTGCTGCTGCTGCTGCATTGGAACTGTTTAAGAGCTGCGTGCTGCTGCAGTGGAGGAGAACTGAAGAAGACCCGGAGGCCAAAATCGTCCGCATGCTTATGAGGTCCGAGCTGCCCCTGTGGGGCCCCACAGAGTTGTAATTTAATTTAATTTAATTTAATTTAATTTAATTTTGAGTTTAATTTTAATTTAGTTTTAGACTCTTGCACGGCATTCAGGTGTATGTACAGCCTGCTGTTCTTTTCAAGCTCCAGGGGTTCCACAAAAGGGGACGACCCCAATCTAGCGTTTGTTGCTGCTGCTGCTGCTGCTGCTGTTGCTGCTGCTGCTGCTGCTGCTGCTGCTGCTGCTGCTGCTGACGGGGCTGCAGGTCGGCTGACCATCCCTCGATGCCGGAGAGGAGCGGAGTGGTCAGAGCGGAGACTTTGATTTCGGGTTTGTTTGCTGCCTTCGTTGAATTTAATTAATTCAATTTAATTAATTAAATTAAATTAATTTAATTAATTTAATTTAATTAATATAATTTAATTAATTCCATTTAATTCATTCAGTTCAAGTTCCCGAGAGCGCGGCGCAGGCGCAGCGGCGCAGGTGTACGTACACCCGAGCCGTGGCGCAGGTGTACGTACACCCGAGGTGGACTTAATTTTGCATTAATTCTTTTTGAGGGAAATAAAAAGAAGTCAGAAGTTTCTTTTTGCGCTTTTTGCTGCCAATGGCATTGTTTTTTGCAGGCTACATCATGCAGCAAAAGCCCGACGACGAAAACTCCTCCACTCTTTTCATTTTGGCGCAGACTGACGTCAGAGGTCTCATCCCCAAAGTGCGTCTCGGGTGTACGTACACCTGGCGCGGGCCCGCAGCAGCAGCAGCAGCAGCAGCGCGCCGCCGCCGCTGCTGCTGCTCCTGCTGCTGCTGCTGCTCCTGCTGCTGCTGCCCCTGGTGCTGCTGCCGCTGCTGCTGCTGCTGCTGGGGGTCGCGTCAGGGGTTTGGGGTTTAGGGTTTAGGGTTTAGGGTTTAGGGTTTAGGGTTTGCGGGATGGGCTCAGTGGATTGTCAACACCACCGCCGCGAGGGCCCCCGTGGGTTGGGTGGAAAATCTGAAGAAGGCCTGCAAGGCTTATATGAAGGAACACGGCAACTACGTGCCGCCGTACAACCCGACAGCTTGAAGAAAAGAAAAATAAAAAATAAAAATAAAAAATAAAAGAATAAAAGAAATAAAAGAATAAAAAGAATAAAAGAATTAAAGAATTAAAGAATAATTAAAGCAAGAGTCGAGGAGATGGTGCCTGCTGGAGCGGGGAGGCGACTTGTTGGACTCGAGACTCAAGACTTGCACTTCCATTAAACCAAGTGCTGCTGCTGCAGCCAAGTGCTGCTGCTGCAGCCATGTGCTGCTGCTGCAGCCATGTGCTGCTGCTGCAGCCAAATGCTGCTGCTGCAGCCAAGTGCTGCTGCTGCAGCCAAATGCTGCTGCTGCAGCCAAGTGCTGCTGCTGCAGCCAAGTGCTGCTGCTGCAGCCAATTGCTGCTGCTGCAGCCAAGCGCTGCTGCTGCGCGGAGTGCGGCCTTTCTGGGGGCGCGTTGACCTGCTGCTGGAGCTGCTGCTGCGCATGCAGCGCTGAAGACTTGGAATGGTTTTTGAAGGACTTCGGCGGAAAAAGGAAGTTGAATTGCAAGCAAAGACCGTTTAAGTGCTGCTGTTGCACGTTTGCCGAGTTGGGAATGGACAGAGAAAAGTGCGGCGAGTTTTGCGGCTTGGAGCGCGTGGCTGCGCGGGCTGAGGTGTACGTACACCCCAACCACCGCCGCAAGTTCCGTTCAAGTTTCGCCGCGGAAAGCGAAACTTGAACTGATCTCGGAAAGCTGCATTTTTTGCAAAGCTTTTCAAAATGCTTTTTGTTTTTGTCTCTTTAATTTCACTGCAGTTCGCACTTGTTCGCGCGTGGAGTCCGCGCGGGCTCGGCCCCAGCGCCCTCGCCGACGGGCCGTTCGCCCAAGTCACGGATGTCCACAACGGTACTGCGCAGCGCTTTCGGACTCAGTCGAATTTGCGAAGTTGAATTTTTTCTTTTTCTCCAAACAGGAACTGTTTGCGCCGCCGACGAGGCCCTGCGCGGCGACCCCCCTCTCCCCCCGGAATGTGAATGCAGCTTCCACCGCCTGAGTACGCTGCTGCTGCTGCTGCGCTGCTGCTGCAGCTCGGCTGCTGCAGCTCGGCTGCTGCAGCTCAGCTGCTGCAGCTCGGCTGCTGCAGCTCGGCTGCTGCAGCTTGGCTGCTGCAGCTTTCCGATTCTCTTGGACTTCGATTTATTTTTGCTGCTTCGACTCGGCAGAGGCGAGGGAGGAGCGCTGCGCTGCGTTTTCGATCGCAAGTGCAAGTGCAGCAGAAGAGGCGCAGGCAAGTCCGCAGCAGCAGCAGCAGCAGCAGCAGCAGCAAAGCCATTCAAATGTCTGCTGCAGTGCGGCCAGGACATCTGCGAGATTTGCTGCATCATGACAGTCTCCAGAATCCGTAAGGCAGCAGCATACTTCAAAACCTGCTGCTGCAGCAACTTCCACTCTGCAGCAAGCCCCGGCGAAGACCGCTCGCAGCTGGTAACTGGCAGCAGCAGCAGCAGCAGCTGCTGCTGCTGCTGCTGCGCCTGAAAGCCGCAATAACGAGCGCTGCTGCAGAGAAGGCCGAATTAAGAGCTGAACTTGCAAAAGAAGTCTTAATTGATTCTGCATTAAATGCCATTAAATGCCACTTTTCCTCATTTCTTGGCCAATTCATTCTCCATTAAATGCTGAACTTCAAAAAACTTCAAAAAACTTCAAAAAACTTCAAAAAACTTCAAAAAATTAAATTGAATTTTCGAAAAAGAAATTCAACTTTAAATTCCCCCAGCAATGCAGGCGAAAATGCACTGAGACAGAAGCAGAACTGGCCAGTGAGAAGTTCAAATTAATTTGAAGTTCAAATTTGAAATTCATTAAATTTAAAATTCAAATTTAACTTTTATTTCAATTCAACATTCTGCAGGCCCTGAGGACTTGGCGGAGCAGATTCTGAAAGCTGTGGGTAAAAGTCAGAAAGCCGAAAACTTGAAAATTCAAAAACTTGAATTTTTTTCAAGTTCAAAATTCAAAAACTTGAATTTTTCCCAAGTTCAAAATTCAAAAACTTGAATTTTTTTCAAGTTCAAAGTTCAAAAACTTGAATTTTTTTCAAGTTCAACACTCAACAACTTAACTGCACTTCTCTTCAGCTCATGGAATTCACAGAAGTCTTTTATTCCAAAGAACCCGAAATCCCCGAACTCAACTTACCCACCCGCCTCAATCTCCAGCAGGGCCCCCAAGGGGGCCCCCAAGGGGGCCCCCAGGGGGGCCCCCAAGGGGGCCCCCCTGGGGGGCCCCCTGCGGCAGCCCCTTGGGGCCTCCCTTGGGGCCTCCCTTGGGGCCCCCTTGGGGGGGCCCCTGGGGGGGCCCCTGTGGGGGCCCCTGGGGGGGGCCCCCCACCAGTGGCGCCAGGGGCCCCCGGGCCCGTTTCTCCGACTCCGGCAATTAACACTGTTTACCCGTTGACTCGGCTTCCCACAGAAGAGGAGCTGGCAGCAGCAGCAGCAGCAGCACAGCTCGGAGCAGCAGCAAAAACCAGCAGCTATTGAGGCTTTGCAACGTGCAACAGAAGCAGCAGCAACAGCTGCGCGGCATGCCGAGAAGCAACAGCAGACCATGTTGCTGTTGCTGCGGCAGAAGCTGCTGCTGCAGCAGAAGCTGCTGCTGCAGCAGAAGCTGCTGCTGCAGCAGAAGCTGCTGCTGCAGCAGCTTGAATTTTCGCAGGCGAATATGCGCAGGGAGCGCAGAGTCTCGCCTCCTTGCAATCAATTCAATTAACTCGAACTCTTTTTTCAAAGTCTTGGAATGAAGTTGAATTAAAAATGAAAAATTATTTCCAAGTGCAGCAGAAGGGAACAGATCAGCTGCCGGCGCTGCAGGGAACCTGAACTGACTGAGGCTGCCGGATCTCTTTGCCACGCAAGTCCAATTATAATTTGCATTTACTCTACAACTTGTATTTATTATAAATTCTAAACTATTTGTGTTTATTATAAATTCTAAACTATTTGCATGCACTTTAAGTCTAAATTGTTTGCATGCACTGCATGTTTGCATGGCGGAAGAACAGCCACCAGGTGAGGCGCGCAGCCTCGCCCCCGTGGCGATGACGGCCAGAAAGTGCAAAATAATTAAATAAAAGAAATTAAAAAGAAATTAAAAGATGTGCAGCACCAGCACACTTTTAAAGCGCGTTTACCTGCTGTTTCTGCGGATCCGCAGCACGCGCACAGGACCAGCGGTAAGCATATTCTGCACAGTTGAACAAGTGCATGCATATGCACTTTTGCATGAATATTATTGTCTGAATTTGTTGCAAATTTCTGCATTTGCAAATATTTGCACTTCTGCATCGTCAGGCTGTCCTTCCACTTTGGCGGAGTTGCAAGTTCAACTTCATGCAGTTGTTGCAAATATTCGCAGAGTCCATTTTCTTGAGTTTAAGTTCCCAGTGGCAATTCATATATGCAAATAAACAAGAATTTGTGCAAAGAGGAAAAGTAATGAACTCAAGTGGGCTCTTCGTCGCATTCTTTTCTTTTTTTCTTCTTTTTCTTCTGCGGCGATTCGGAAACCTCCGCCTGCAGCTCCTCCGGCTCTTTCACTTTCTGTTTCTTTTTGTCTTTTTCTTTGAATTCAAAATTGGATTTGTTTTTGTTTTTGACTTTTTGTTTTTCTTTTGCTGCAGGAAGCACCGCCGCTTCCTGTTCACTTTCGGAAGCACTGGAGGAAGGCAGCAGCAGCAGCTCCTTTTGCTGCTGCTTCTTGCTGCTTCTTTTTCTCTTCTTCGCGCTTCCGTCGCTTTGCTGCAGCAGTTTGCTGCTCCCGGCCTCGTTCTCGTCGCCCTCGGCCTCCCCCGCTGCAGCTTCCGCTGCTGCTGCTGCTGCTGCTGCTGCTGCAGCAGCAGCAGCTGCACGCGTCTGCTGCTGCGCGTCTCGCTTCTCCGCTGCTTCCGCCAGAGGCAGCTCGGAGGCTGTGAAGGGCGTGTCGAGCAGCGCAGCAGTGGCTCCGACCGTTCCCCCCTGTTCAAGTGCCAGCAGGCTGCTGCTGCTGCTGCTGCTGCTGCTGCTGCTGCTGCTGCTGCAGTCCTCGATCGCGGGGGGCCTGGCCTGATCCCGGAGCTGGTGCTGCACGCCCTTGGGGGGCGCGTTGAGGGGCGCCTCCCTGACAGCAGCAAGCCGTGTCTTGAGGCGCTGCAGCTCTGCTGCTGCTGCTCTTCGAATGGCCCGCCGCAGCTTCCGGCGCTGCTTCTTGAGACTCCAGCCCCTGGCAGCAGCCTTGGCCTGGACTTGGTCGTGGAGGGTTTGCTGCTGCTGCAGCGGCAGCGCAGCGCGCAGCAGCCTGGCTGCGTCTTTCTTGCGGGTGGCGGCGAGCTGCTGCTGCTGCTGCTGCAGCAGCAGCGGCACCGCAGCCTCCAGCCCCAGCCCCCGCTCCCGCATCAAGCCTGCTGCTGCTGCTGCCAGCAAGTCCCGCTGCAGCCGCGCAGGAGCCAGGGGCAAAATGTCCAGCCATTCGACTCCCCGCAGCCCCTGCGGCAGCTGCTGCTGCTGCAGCCGCTGGAAGCAGCGCAGCAGGTGGCGCAGCAGCACGGGCCGCGGCTCCGCGCCCATCCGCTGCTGCAGCAGCTGCGGCAGCAGCAGCAAGTTGTATTCCCTCCGCAAGAATGCATGCGTTTGCTGCGGGAAGTTCTCGGCCTGGATGCGGCGCCAGGGCACTCCGAAGGCCGGCAGCTCCTCGCCAGTTTGCTGCTGCACCGCCAGCAGCAGCAGCAGGGGCCTCCCGCAGCGCCCTGCGGGCCAGGGCCTCGTAGTGACTCAGCCGCGGGGCAATGGCCCGCCACTTGTCGCAAACGTCTGCGGGCCGCCGGTTAAGCACTGCAGCAATCTTCACCCAGCAGCCCCGCCGCGGGCCAGCTAGCTGCTTGGCTAGCTCAGCTAGCTGCAGCGTCTCGAGGGGCCCCCAGGGGCCCCTCCGCACCCCCGCAGCCATGCTGCGGCGCAGGTAGCCGTAGATGGAGGCGAAGGGGCGTTCGGGGAGGCAGCGGGCGACGGCTTGGAAGCGGCCGGGGGGCCCCCGGGGGGCCCCCGGGGGGCCCCCCGCCGCGGCGCCCAGGGGGGCCCCCAGGGGGCCCCCCCGGGGGCCCCCCCGGGGGCCCCCGCCGCTCGCCAGGCTCCGCGCAGCCTCCTCCGCCGAACCCAGGCCCTCCTGCTGCGCCAGCTGCTGCAGCGCCTCCCGCAGCAGCTGCTGCTCCTCCTGCGTGAAGGGGCCCTTGCGGTACTTCAGCCCGCTGCGCGCATGCATGCGCCACAGCCCCGTGGCCCCGGGGGCCCCCAGCGCCAGCAGCTGCTGCTGCTGCTCGCTGAAGCTCTCTTCGCCTCTGGCGGCCACTTGCGAAAAGCCCAGCGGCAGCTGCGAGGGCGCCAGCGCAGGCCGGTACACGGGGTCTTCGCTGGGCAGCAGAATCCGCTCCGCCTTCGAGGGCTTCTGCAGCTCCCTTTTCTTTTCTTGCTGCTCCCGCGGCGGCTCCTCTCCCGCCAGCTTGCTGCAGCAGCCAGCAGCAGCAGCAGCAGCAGCAGCAGCAGCGTCCGCCGGCTCCGCCTTCGCCCTCAGCCGACGCAGCCGCGCCCGCGGCCGATCCGCCGCGACTTTCCCCGCCGCAAGCTCCGAAACCATCCGCAAGTCCCAAACTATTCAAAACAATTCGAAATCAGCGCGAGATCCGCGCGAAAACCCGCAGATTCAGCCCAAGTCCGCGCGAAACCCCAGCGCTGCGGCCACCGCCACCAACACCGCGCAGCGGACGCCGCCCGCCTTTCCCGCGAACCCGCGGCAAAGAAAACATGCTAAGTCGCAAACATTATCCGAAAGTTTGTCATTTTGCACAAAATAAATGTCAGTGGGGCTTCGGGGGCGCTTTTCCGCATGCGGCGACCCAGGCCGCAGCGCGGCGTACCCAGCCCCACCGCGGCGCTGCTGCTCAGTGTTGTCTGCGAAGGCCTCAAACGCCACTTTTATTCGCCTTTTTTAGTTAGTGTTCTCTCTTTTTGCATTCCAATCATTTCCGTTTCAAATGTGCAGCAATAGCTCTCTCGTTTGACTCCGGATCCGTCGAGGCTGGACACGGGGAACCTGCCGGGGCTTCCAGGTGCCTGCGGAATGCATGCGCAGCAGTCACAAATTTCGCAACTTCGCAACTTAATTTCGTTATTAAAGTCCCAAATTGCTTTTTAATTTGTTGCTGCTTCCAAATTGCCATTCGCTGCAGCTGTGCTGCTGGGCGATCCTGCTCCTTGCAGAAGGCCACATATCTGGGAGTGGTAGATCCCTTCGCTCGCCTTCATTGTCACAACTGAATAAATCCTTCTGTTCAAATTTCAACAAAGAAATCTAAATAGAACACTTTGTTTAAATTTAGACAAAACCGCCAGCCCAGAAACTTCACATTACAACTCTTTCGGGAAACTCTCAACACTTCCCACGCAGAAGCTGCGAGCCACAAAGACACCTGCTTTCCTGTTTTCTCTTTTCACGAGGCGCGAGCTGTAAGCAGCTGTGGCTAGCTCCCCCCATGTACAGCTAGCTACAGCTAGCTGTAGCTAGCCGTAGCTAGCTGTAGCTAACCGTAGCTAGCTGTAGCTGTAGCCGCCTGTGGCTAGCGGTCACTGGCCGTAGCAAGCTGCAGCTAGCCAAAGCTAGCTGTAGCTAGCCATAGCTAGCTGTAGCTAGCTGCAGCTGGCTGTAGCTAGCCGTAGCTAGCCGTGGCTAGAATGTACCTTCACCGAGGTTTCGAAGTAAGTAGATGCGCTAAGTCATTTCCCCTTTTCCTCTTGTCTTGAGGAAATGGCAGAAAGGCAAAAACATAACGGCCAAATTCAAATAAAATACTCAATAAATGAATACACTGGTGGGCAAAACTGGAAGAAATAAATCCAAAATATAATTGTAATAGACTTATATGCTTATTTGAAAACACTTGAGGAGATCCACACAACCAGAACTTTATCTGTTTCAGACAAAATAGAAAAAAAAAGAAAATGGAAAAGACGCAGCGAGCGCCTTTTGCTGGAGAAACGTGAAAAGTTGCAACAGCAGACTGCGAATGAGAAAGCTCGCATTGAATTCGTGCAGAAAGCTGCAACGAAGTCTTTCTTAATTTGTTTCTTAATTTGTTTCTGGGCCTTTCTTATTGCGGGAGAACTGGTGAAAATGGAAATATTTTAATATTTCCGGTTTTCAAAGACGAAAGTAACTGAACTCAGCATATGTGCAAGGAGCAAAAAGGTGCAAACAAGCAAATCCCGCATGCATGCCGCATGCATCCCGCATGCATTTGAACACGAACTCAAACTTAATAAACATAATTTCGTTCAATAAAACCAAAAAACAGCGCTGTGCCTCCAGAGCTAAGGCAAATTCCTGCACTGACCATCGACAAACAGTGGCTTCCGAACCCAGCCATAAAGTATGCCTGTAACTGTGTTTCAAATGCAATAATAATGCAAAATATGTATTCATGTTCTGTGTAGACAAGTAATTCAGATATAAGCACGGATCGAACTCACGAAACAAACAACTGTACAACTTCGTATAGACATGCATGCATGCAACCTCCCGTTCAACTAGATATTCTTGTGGAATACTCAAAGTATTTCCTGGGAATACTCAAAGTATTTCCTGTTTAAAGATGATCCTAAAGGCTATTTAAATGCGGATCTGCACCTGCTGGCCTGCGCAGCCCGAAGTCTACATCCCAGCGGCGTTCAAATAGCGCTTCAGGCCGAGGAAAGCTGCAGCAGCAAAACAACTTCCGCAGCCTGCAGACGCCATACAAATCTCTTATTGCTGCAGCTTCACTTCCCTACTAAGGGTCCTTCATTATGAACAGCGCTTAGGGTGTTCGCAGTGAGCCCGAGCTCACAGAGAGCCACCCCTAATGATATGGAACTAACACCCTTTTGCACTGATCTGCTGCAGCCTCAGCTCAGCCTCTCCTGCTCTTCACTTTAAGGGCTTAAGTGCCTACGCTGTGGCTGAAGCCGTCATGCATGAAGCAAGCTGCAAAGTTGCCTCCCCGCGGGAGTTCAGACCCAGGGGGAAGCGCGGGAAACTGGGCGTGTGCTGCTTGCCCTGCTCGCCCCTACTTGAGCTCTGCCGCTAAAACTATTTCATTTACATATTTTCTTCTTTTGGAGCCCAAAAGGGGTTGGAAAACGCCGGAAGTTCGGGCGGATGCTCGTGCGGAATGTGGGGCACCGCGGGCACGCCGGCGTCTCAGGCTGCGCCCTTGCGCTGATTTTGCGCGTTCCTTTTGCTTTTGCAGGAAAAGATTGGAGAAAATTGCTGGCTAGGAATCGACTGGGGAGCGAAGGGGGTTGCCCGCTGGCGCTGCGGGTTTGTCTGCATGCAGGGGAAGTTGAATGGCGGCTGCCGCGGCGGCTGCGGCGGCCTCTGCAGCGCCGCAGATTTACGCAGTTTCCCAAGCTTTTCTTCGGAGTAGGCATTTGCGTTTTGTTTGCGGAGTGCTTTGTTGGAGCCCATGGCCAGCTGAGAGGCGAGGCTGGAGAGCTCAGCTGCCGCCACCGCAGGAGCCGCGGCCGGCCGCGTTGAATTTCGCGCTGCAGCGCAGCGATTCGAAGGCCTTTGGCGGCCTTAGGGGCTTTTTCGCGGACTGCAGCACAAAGCGCTTCCGTTCCGGGCGAGACGCAGCAGCAGCAGCGCAGCAGCAGGGCTGTCGGGCGAGCAGCAGCAGCAGCAGCACTTGGGCTGGATAGCAGCAGTTGCGGCAGGGGCTTTCCCCGCGTTCTGCCTGCGGGCTAGCGTCAGCGCTTCCGGCCGCGATGGAGAACGGCGACGGCCGCGGCGGCTCCGGCAGCCGCAGCAGCAGCAGCAGCAGCAGCAGCAGCAGCAGCAGCAGCAACACGGGCAGCCAGGCGCCGCTGACCTCGAAGGGCGCCTTCGACGCACACCTCTACGGCGAAACGCCCGTCCACCAGTACCTCTCGGAGATCCCCGCAGAAGATGAACAGCCGACGCCGCTGGGGGCCGTTTTCGGCGAAGAGGCGCAGCCGCAGCGCAGGGGCGTGGACTCGGTGGCGCGGCTGGTGGAGAGCGAGCGGCGAGCGATGCTGTCCGCCGGGGGGGGGGACGCGAGCGACGCTGCAGCGCTCCTCGAGAAGAAGGCCAGCGTCGCTCGCGAGGACTTGTACCGCAGGCAGCGCTTCCAGCGAGCGCTCTCGCCCGAAAGACAAGACCCTTTCGCTGCAGACGGGGGCCGCAGGGCCGACGTGAGCGCCCGCAGCTACGCAGACGTGATGGTGGAGCAGCAGCTCGACAGGGAGAAGCAAGCAGCAGTCAAACAAATCCGCAAGCTGCAGGAAGACGCGGCTTTCGCGCAGCAGCTGCTGCAGCAGCAGCAGCAGGAGGCGGCGGGCGCGGCCGCCGCGGGCAAGCGCGGCCGCTGGGCCGGCGACCGCCAGCTCACCGACGCAGAGCGCTTGGCGCTGCAGCAGCAGCAGCAGCAGCAGGGCAGCGAGGGCGCTGCTGCTGCTGCCGCCAGCCTCACCAGCCGCTGGGACACTCCCCTCCAGGCCGGCGGCCAGGCCCCCGGCTGGGGCGACACGCCCATGGCTTCTGGCGGAGAAGCAGCAGCAGAAGCAGCAGAACAAAAACCCAAAAAGAGAAGCCGGTGGGACGCCACGCCGGCGCAGCCCGGCACTGGCCAGGTACGTCGCTGTGCAGCTTTCGTGCAGCTTTCGTGCAGCTTTCTGTGCAACTTTTCCACTTTTCGTTTTTTTTCTCGCGAAACTTCCGAATTTCCACTTTTATTCAACACTTTTACTCTTTTAAACTTGAATCTGAGCGGGAAAGCACTAAATTCCCGCGGATCGGCGCGGAAGCGGCGCGCTCACGCGCGCGCGCTGGGGTGTACGTACACCGCAGGAAACGCCCACCCCCGGCCAGTGGGGAGCCACGCCGCTCGTGGCGGGGCCTGGAGGCCAAACTCCGTTGGCAATGAAAAAGAAAAGTCGATGGGACGCAACTCCAGTGCCTGGCGGCGAAGAGGGCTCGGGGGTGGGCTCGGCCATGGCCACTCCGCTCACGGGGGCCCGCCTGGCCGACGGCTCCGACGCCGGCCTCGCCACCCCCGGCCTTTCCCAGACTCCGGGCGCCACCCCCATGACTTCCGGCTTGACCCCTGGCGCCACGCCGCTGGCCATGACCGGTGCGCGCTCCTGCTGCTGCTGCTGCTGCTGCTGCTGCTCCTGCTGCTGCTGGTGCCTGCGGGCAGCGTGCGGGGCGCGCTGGCGCTGCGGGTGCCTGCGGGCCGCAGGGAAGGCGGCGCGGCTCCGCCGCTGCTGCTGCAGGCGCCGCCCCCTGGCGCTGCTGCTGCTGCTGCTGCTGCTGCTGCTGCTGCTGCTGGTGTGCAGCGGGCTGGGGCTGCGGAGGCGTGTCTTCGCAGGGCTGGGGTCCACGCCGATGACCCCCAGCACTCCTTTGCAGACCCCGGAGCAGCTGCTGGCGCTGCGGCTGCAGCAGGAGTTCGATGAAAGAAACAGATACTTGACAGATGAAGAACTTGACAGAATAATGCCGACTGAGGGCTACGAAGTGGTGCAGCCGCCGAGCGACTACAACCCGCCGCCGACTTCTGCTGCTGTTGCTGCAGCGCGCGCGCGGCAGCAGGCCCTGGCCTCTTCGGGGATGGGCCCCGCCACCCCCGGAGTTGCTGCTGCTGCCACTCCCCTGGGGGTCACTCCCATGTACGTGATGCCTGAAGAGGGGGGCATTTCGGTGAAGGCTTTGGACCCCACGGGGTCTCTGCTGGACCCCCAGGGGCTGGGGGAGGCTTCTGGGGGCGTGCAGATGAAGGCTGAGGACTTCCACTTCTTTTCGAAGCTCTTTGAAGAAAAACCAGAAGACCAAATGACCCAGGAGGTGACTCTGGGGGGCGCGCTGCTGCTTCCGGGCTTCGGGAGGGGAAGCTGGGTTTGCAGAAGTTGAATTCTCCAAATTTTGATTTTTTAATTAAGTGCAAGCTAGGAGTGATCGGAGGTGCTGCTGTGTTGTGTGTTGGGCTTGCAGGAAGTCAAGGAAAAGAAGATCCAGCTGCTGCTGCTCAAGATCAAGAACGGAACTCCCCCGCTGCGCCGTTCTGCGCTGCGCATTTTGACTGACAAAGCAAAAGAGTTCGGAGCTGCTGCACTTTTCAACCAAATTTTGCCTCTGATGATGCAGACGACGCTGGAGGACCAGGTGGGCGCGGTGCAAGTTGGGGTGTATGTACAGCTGAGCCGCGTGCGCGCGGCTGCTGGCCAGGCCTCGATGAAACGGCGCTTTCATCACTTTTTTGCAAAGCACTTTCATCATTTTTTTGCAAAGTTTTGCGGGATTGTGCGCTGCAGGAGCGCCACTTGCTCGTGAAAGTCATAGATCGCGTGCTGTACAAGCTGGACGACCTGGTGCGGCCCTACGCCCACAAGATCCTGGTGGTCATCGAGCCGCTGCTGATCGACGAGGATTACTACGCCCGCATAGAAGGCAGAGAAATAATCAGCAATTTGGCCAAGGCCGCGGGCCTGGCGACCATGATCGCCACCATGAGGCCAGACATTGACCATCCCGACGAATACGTGCGAAACACAACTGCCAGGTACAGACGGGCCTTCGCGAGTGCACTTTCACGCGGCTTGCAAAATCGGAGTTGCGAAATTTAGCGCTTTCGTGCAAGTTTCCGATTGACCTTCACTAGGCCCGCGTTGAGATTGCTGCTGCTGCTGCTGCTGCAGCAGCTGCAGCAGCTGCAGCAGCTGCAGCAGCTGCAGCAGCGCGAACCAGAACATGCATGTTTGCATCTTTCAAGTCCCTCTAGCTTGTCTGCATCAGCTCCTCTAGTAGTAGCAGTAGGCCCTGCGCATGTGGGGTTGGAATGTTTGTTTTTTTTTTCTTTTTTGTTCTTCAGGGCGTTTGCTGTGGTGGCCTCTGCCTTGGGAGTGCCTTCGCTGCTGCTGTTCTTGAAGGCCGTGTGCCAGAGCAAGAAGTCGTGGCAGGCGCGGCACACGGGGATAAAAATAATTCAGCAAATAGCCATTTTGCTGGGGTGCGGGGTGTTGCCGCACTTGCGGCAGTTCGTGGAAATAATCCAACACGGGCTCGACGACCCCGTTCTCAAAATTAAGACTGTCACCGCGCTGGCCCTGGCCGCGCTGGCCGAGGCCGCAGCGCCCTACGGCATTGAGGCCTTCGACTGCGTGCTGCGGCCGCTGTGGAAGGGCATAGGGGAAATAAAGGGGAAGAGCCTGGCGGCCTACTTGAAGGCCATTGGCTCCATCATTCCGCTGATGGACGCTTACCACGCGAGTTACTACACGCGGGAAGTCATGGTGATGCTGGTGCGGGAGTTCGAAACCAACGACGAGGAAATGAAAAAGATCGTTTTGCGAGTCGTCAAACAGTGCGTGGCCACTGAGGGCGTGGAGGGGGAATATATTCGCACTGACATCATTCCTCCTTTCTTTTCGAAAATGTGGCTCGTCCGAAACGCCCTGGATCGCCGCACGGCCAAACTCCTCACCGAAACCGCCACGGAGTTGGCCTCCAAGGCCGGCGGGGCCCACGTCATTAAGTTCATTGTAGATGATCTTAAAGACCCCAGCGAGCCCTTCAGAAAGGTGACTCTCGAAACGATAGAACAGGTGATAGTGAACGGGGGGGTGGCGGACATAGACGGGAGGCTGGAGGAGCAGCTGATCGACGGCTTGCTTTACGCCTTCCAAGAACAGACCACTGAGGACACTCAAGTGCTTTTAAATGGCTTTTCAACTATTGTTAATGCACTCTCCACCCGCGTTAAGCCCTACCTCCCGCAGATCTGCGGTGTCATTCGCTGGCGGCTGAACACCCCTTCGGCGAAGCTGAGGCAGCAAGCCGCAGACCTCGTGGCGCGCATTGCAACTGTCATGTTCAAGAGTGGCGAAGAGCAAATGCTGGGCCACTTGGGCTTGTTCTTGTACGAGTACTTGGGCGAAGAGTACCCCGATGTGTTGGGAAGCATTCTGTGCGCCTTGAAAGCCATCGTGAACGTGATTGGAATGAACAAGATGACGCCTCCCATCAAGGATCTGCTGCCTCGCTTAACTCCCATCCTCAAAAACCGCCACGAAAAAGTGCAGGAAAACCTTATTGACCTCATCGGCCGCATCGCCGATCGCGGAGGCGACTTGGTGTCGCCCAAGGAGTGGGACAGGATTTGCTTCGACCTTTTGGACTTGTTGAGAGCCCAGAAAAAGAGCATTCGGAGAGCCACTGTGAACACGTTTGGCTACATTGCCAGGACTATAGGGCCGCAAGACGTGCTGGCAACACTCCTGAACAATTTGAAGATGCAAGAACGTCAGTTGCGACTTTGCACGACCATCGCCATTGCTATCGTGGCTGAGACCTGCTTGCCGTATTCTGTGCTGCCTGCGCTCATCAACGAATACCGAGTGCCCGAACTGAACATTCAAAACGGCGTCTTGAAGACTCTTAGCTTCATGTTTGAGTACATTGGCGAGATGGCCAAGGACTACATCTATACAGTCACGCCGTTGTTAGAAGATGCCCTCATGGACAGAGACCTTGTCCACAGACAAACTGCAGCTTGGGCTTGCAAGCACCTTGCGCTTGGTGAGCATAAGTTCGTTCTGCTCAAGCATTTGTTATTGAAAGACACTGTTTCACTAGTGCGCACTGTATTCAGCAACGGGCAAAGTTACCAGGTAACAGGGAAGGATTTCAGTGACATGAATGCTTCATACTTTTGATGGCGTTCGGTAGAACAACATGTTGCAACGAAGTTGCAAGCTTTTCCGGTGTTTGTGGATTACATAGGCGTCCACGGACTGAGCTGTGAAGATGCGCTTACTCATTTGTTTAACTACGTCTGGCCAAACATTTTCGAAGTGTCGGCACACATGGTCCAAGTAAGTTACGTGTTCCCTTTTCCCTTTTTGCTGAAAGGACTTTTTGTTGCATGTGCATGTGGCCAGTGTAGCCACTGTTGCATGTTGGAAAGTGCCTTTTCATGACAACTTGCGCTATACGCTATACGAGCATTAGCACTCCTCTGTGCGCTTTTCTATAACACTCCTCTGTGCGCTTTTTTATGCTGCTTGCAGGCGTTTTTTGATGCTGTGGACGGCATGCGCGTTGCTATTGGGCCCGGAGTTGTTTTCCGATATGTCATCTTGGGCCTCTTCCACCCTGCACGCAAAGTAAGTAACTTGTTCTCTCGAATGTCCCCTTTTCTCGCGCTGTCCCAGCATCTATTGCAAAGCCAAAGCCCGAATTTGTGTCGATACAGTTGGCATGTTGGTCGATCTGCATACTGCTTGCATGGTGCAAACAGGGGGTCACCATGGGTGTGCCCGGAGTTCGAATTCATTTTTATTGCCGTTGTGCTTTTTTATGCAGGTACGAGAGGTGTATTGGAGGGTGTATAACAACGTGTACATCGGGCACCAGGACGCGATGGTAGCTTTTTTCCCAAGACTTCCCGACGACGGGAAGCATTCATTTGCCCGTCATGAGCTTGAACTGGTCATTTAGGCTAGCGTGATGACAGGAGCGTAGATTAGCTGTTGCGCCGCGGGAATTGATGAGCAGAAAACTCTATGCATATGTGTTCCGTCCCATTTGCAACACGAGAATGCCTTAGTTTGTAGTGGTGAAGCGATCTGTTCTTCCATTCCGGCGTGGATCTTAGATAGTGGACTCCAGATTGCCCTTCTTAGCAGGAGATGAGCCTCTGTCGTACTGATTTACCCTGGGAGCATCTATTGCATGGCGGCCTGTGCTTAACAGGTCCTAGCGTCTTGGCGGTGCTCGCCGTCACATAAGCGGGAGGGGTGTCGGCAGTGACAGCTCCGCTTTGAACCATTTTGTCTGATGAGGGATGCGTGCTAGGCTGCTGTCGCTCTTGAACTGTAGTGCTTAATGAGTAGTGAGGCTACCGTTTTGCGTTGGTTAGATACTGTACCAATCGAAGTAGTGCTGCTTTAGGGGAGGACGCAGGCAGGTGAGCCCAACGGCAAAGAGCCTGCAGGTAATACTGAGGGACTAGCCAAAGGCTCACTTGCTTGCAAACAGTATATAGACTGGCTTGCGCAGGCAGGTGAGCCCAACGGCAAAGAGCCTGCAGGTAATACTGAGGGACTAGCCAAAGGCTCACTTGCTTGCAAACAGTATATAGACTGGCTCGCGTTCATATACAGTTTAAATTTAAACACTTGTAGTCGGTGGTCACTGCTAAAAGTATACGGCTCTTTTGTGCGAGCATAGCGGCAACGTCGCTGCCGATCTTCGCAGCTCTTAAACTAGACGCGGGCCGCAATGATTATGATCGCGGCGATGAGGACCATAAGCAGCAGTATCGTCAACATGCAGCACCCCATTGAGGTTGCCCTAAGCAGCACAGCAGAGGATGAGTGTACACCTAATACACGAATAAGCAGGTGCGCAGCAGTTCGGTGCTACATGTTAACGCGTACAGCGAAGCCGAACAAACGTGGGCCTGTGTATCCAGTGGGGAACGTTGCTTCTTGACTCACTGTATAAGGGCACAGGTCTGATTCCCCACCACCAGCGTTAGGTAACCCACGGGGTCCTGCAGACAGGCTCATACAGAAGCAACGGAATGCTTTTGAGATTTCATTCACATGCCAAAACTCCTGGCTCGTTCACAGGTTGCTACACAATATGGTGATGAAGGCAGGAAACCCGGCCCCTCTCACAGATAAAATCATGTTGGGAGAAGGGCGGTCCGCCGGTTCTGCCAGGGGCTCGGGGGCAGCGCGGCCAGCGCCAACCGGATGAGCCTCGGCTTCGCCCTTGGGAACTAAAGCAACTGTGCAGTGAAGAGTAGCAGAGCCGGACACAAGCCTAATATAGCAGCACGCGCATTTCACAAGGATGTTTTTCAGGGCCAAGCTTCACAGTGAGTGCGGCAGATAGGCAAGCTACCGCCAATCGTTGTCAAGTGCACGCTGTAGCCAGCCTTCGGCAGGAATGATGGAACTCGCGTCAATCCCAGGGTAACTTTGGGGTTATCTGGTTATGTGGTGGTTCAGCCCACGTTCGTATGCGGCGGCGTTTGGCCTGTCTGCCGCAGCAGCAAATTCCTAGACAGCAGCAGAGAGCGACGGAATCATCTGTCTGGTCAAGGAAGTTTTCTTTCACTTCTCGGCGGTTGCAGCAACCCGTTACGGAAGCAGGGCAACCCATGGCTTCGTATGGGGCACACCAAAATGCCTGGCACCAACGCTCGACCCTGAAGGCAGACACAGTGCGACTCAACGCTGCAATTCTCCTTGGTGCTCCGGGAACTTCAGTGAGGAGAAACGATTGCTTCAGCTTAAAACTATAAGAAGAGGCATCTGGTAGAGCAAGAAGCTAACATTGGTCTGCCCTCACATTCCGGCCCCCAGAGGGTCATCAAATGTAACATCGAAGTCAATCGGGCTGATGGACCCTTGGTCTTGGCGGAAGCGAGTCATTGCCGAGAGGGCAAATGCATCAAGACTGAGAGTCTCGGAGTTGTAAAGGGCATTGTCAGTTGCAGGGGCGTTAATGTCGATCAGAGTAAGCTGAAAATGCCAATGCTCGGCAGCATACGCAATAGTTGTGCAAAGCTACCATGTACACGATAACAGTGTTGCCACAAGTAGGTAACATGACTGTCGGTGTGTATTTGCTAAAGAGGAACCTCGCACGCAGAACGAGGCACCTAATGGAAAAATTGGCACAGAATCTCCCTCGGATACTCGTAGTCCGTTGCCTTCTTCCATAGCACATTATCAGTGCTATGTATTGTATGCATTCTTGCTGCATTATATTATCCGTTCTAACCTTTGCGCTCATAGCTGCCAGTGGTAGCTTAACGCGTTTCAGTATGCGCCAGTTGAAAGTGGCAGTGCGTCGAGAGAAGAAGTGCACGTCTGTGTCAAAGCAGTCGTATGAATCCTCCAACTCAAAATCTGTCGTGAAGAGCTCGACGCGAACTTTGAGATCGTTGCGTTCCCCTGCAAGAGACGAAGAAATGACAGGAAGCAGTGGCAACCTGATCAGAGAGTGTAAATAATAAAACGCAGAAGAACACATGGAAAGTGTCAACAAACTAGCTGCTTCTATCGGCTGCAGTGCTCGCACCACTCTGATCATAGTTCCGGCTCACCTGAAGAACCCTTGAAGACGTTTATGTTTTCCACATTCCAAATGATAAAACGAAGCTCGAATTCTTCTTCTTGTCCCAAATTCGAGATGTAGAGCTCTTCATATGGATCTAGTTCACCAACCTGATACACATGAGGCAAAAACCGTTTCAACAAAAAGCCCTACTGCTGCCGAATGTGACATGCAGAACTGTGAGTGTCAAGAAGTGACAAGAACAAAGGAAAGGTGCCTGATATGTCTACTGCGCCTACCATATCAATGAAGTATCGAAGGGTCCCCTGAGAAACACCAAGCTCCCCTTCGTTTTCTCCTGTTTGAAGGGGTTGATACTCAATAGGGAAGTAATGTAGTGGCGGAACATAAGCTTTCTTCCCCGGTCCTACAACTGGGCTGCAGTTGTAAGACACAGGTAACGCATTGAACACGTACGTAGTTGAAAGCATTGTCCACAAACGTAGTGCACGGCCACTAACGACACACTGGTGCGGCTGGTGCTGCCGATGAGCATTCGTCATTGAACATGTGATTTACCAGGTTTTTTGATATTTATTTATACGCGACGCCTTGAGAGCCAGCCACCTGCGAAGCCACGAGACAGCGAATCAGCGGAGAGTTGCAAGTAGCAGCCAGATTCAGTTGCACTGACTATGCCTAGTCAAAAGGTTGGGCCCTTTCGAAACACGAACAAATAAGCTGCGCGCAAACAAATAAAGCTGGCTTAGCTAAGTGAGCATGCATAAATAAGTCGTAATATGCATGGCTGCAGAGAAACAATTAGGAACCTAAAAAGGCGGCTTACCGTTCTTCCAGGTCAACAGAAACCATTCCTAATGGCGAGTCGCTTTGCAGCACATCACCCTTATCCATGACAACAATTTTTAGCAGGGCAGGCCCCGGAATCAGCACTCGAAATACAAAGTGCTCGTAAAAGTTTGGATTACAGTTGCTGCAGGCAGAATGAAGCACTCTCTACGCCCAATTTGTTCCACAATATATTGGGTAGCTGCCGTAAACTGCAGCAGTGTACAGCATGAATAGGAAGCGCAGCGTCTGCCGACATCCATATATATACACGTATTTGTGCCCCATCCTACTGCAGCGAGGTTCAGTCAAACTTGGACCCCGCATAAATAGGACGGCTGACTAACATCAAGAACAACACGTTAGTACTCTTCATGTGAGTTACAGCATTGTGTTGTTGAGCAGCACTTGCTACTATTGGCGTAAGATTAGCATCCATGCATTGAGCTCATTCCGTCGACGACCTACCCATCAAATACCCGGTCGGAGACTATAACCTGCTGCCCCACTTGGAGCTTTAGATACGGATCGCTCATGCCTATGGTGTCCACATTTTGGAGGTTTCGCGCAGTCAAAATGTAAACATGCACTACAACAACTTCTTCCATCCAGCGGTGCATGGGCGGCGCTATAAGCACGTCGGGAGGAGCATAGCCAGAAGTCGCGAGAGAGTTTTTGTCGGCCGGATTGCTGGAGGCCTGCTTGTTTCCTGGCAGCTGTTGACGCTGCGCGAGTGCCTTTGTCTCAGATACTGCTTGAGAGGGTTCCTTCGCAGCCCCGACATCAGTTTTGTCTGTCAAAGCCTTGTTTGTCGCTGTAACATCCGTCACTCTCACCCACCCCTAAAAAGCACCGCAGACTTACACAGAAACTGAGCAGCGCCGCTGACCCGTTCTAGGAGCACTTGAGCCCCACTGTGCCACTACGACGCTCTGCAAGCGCGCGCTATGGGCATTCTTACTTTCAGTAGGGCAATTTTCTTCTTGTCTTCTCCCCAAACCACAGGTTGCGCCAAGTTGAGCGTCGGCAACATTGAAAAGCTGTCAAACCATAACACGGTTTGGTCACGGTCGAAGTAGGTGCAAGTTTTCTTCAACCGACACACTAATTCTCCACGCTGCACGTCAATGGAGTAGCTAAAGCCTGCCTTTGAGTCCTCATTGAAACTCTTCCTGTAACCACCCCCCTGCAGCGCCCAAAATTTTCACATAACTCATGATGTTGTGGCTGTGGGCTACGAAGTACCCTGCTAGGATTTTGCTCTACTCTGAATCTGCACGAAACTACTAAGTAGCACGATTTCTGCTCAATGCCACAATCTTACGGCTTCTCGAAGCTTCGCCAGCTCGGACTCCTGCTCGAGAATCTCCACTTCCAACTGCTGTCGCTCCGCTTGTCCCACCTAAGATATTCACGCAGTGTACCGATGGCTTTCACTCTATGGCATTTGAAAGATACAAGAAAATACGCGTGACTTTAGCTACTCAGTTTTGAGTCTATTACTTGCCAGATTTTCTTTTTCTCGCCCTCTCAATTGCATTTTAAGCCGTTGAAGCTTTTGTTCAACACACCTAAGC